ATGGAACACGAAAGCCATCGATGTGGCGCTGGCGTACGGTTGGAATATCAACGAGCCCTATGAGCATGTTGGCAGCGCGCTTGTGTAAGCCTTCGCTACCCTTCTGGAGACCATTCGACTCGCAGAAATAACTGACAGGTAAACAGATCCATCGTCAGTAGCGCGGAGACAGGCCCAGGATATCCCGATGGCGATACAGCTTGCCTAAAGATTGCTGCGCATCTATTGTCAAAAGGCGCCCATGTGGACGAGAGCACCCGGACGAACGAGAACCCGCTCGAAATAGCCTGTGCGAAAGATGACAGGCATATGGCAGCGCTATTGTTGGCACATGACGCATCGCTGGAAGAGGCGCCCAAGGCACTCCTCAATGCTGCCCGTGAAGGCAGCATTGACATTATGCAGCAGCTGCTGGATCGAGGCGCCGATGTCAATGCACACCCGTACGGAAGACTCGAGATAATCCCTTGCCAACTAGAGGACGAAGGTTGGGGCTCTGCGCTACATTGTGCCGTTAAAAACCACCATACCGAGGCAGTCTCATTTCTCTTAGAGAAAGGCGCGGCCAAGGAGTACAGGAACATGGTGGGGTTGAAGGCTTTGGATCTTGCTCGCAAATTGGGACATGAGGATATTGTGCGGTTGTTAGAGTAGAGTGATGACCACGTATGCAATCATCTACCATGAACAGCAGCATTTCTTCTTTGGAAATTTTGTTAATGAACCCGTATGAAAAGTGCTGGATCCTGGGCTGGTATCGCAAGAAGGTGGAACTTTCGCCCGACACGAAGACCGATCGATGCACCGGATGCCGTGACATTGACGCGGATCTGTCCAACGTTGCATACCAACACAATATCAGCGATAACTATAAGGGTGCAAGTTTTAACAAAAAAAGAAGTATTGATTTACACATGAGCCTGCGAACTCGTTAACAGATGGTTTGAGGCTCAAAGAGATGGACTTGACAAATTGGTGGGTTGAGATCACACCGATCACTCATACGCTGATCGAACCCGCCCTCAGGAGCATCTCTGAGTACCTGAGTGGAACTTAGACACAAAACATTTAGCAACCATCTATATCGACAATAGGCTTGATTCTAGCAGTACAAACACCGAAAAAGATGCATCATTCGACGAATGTAAGACAACGCGAGAAGCCGACGATAACGGCGAGGGTTTTTAGGTCGTCGAAGAAAGCTTTGTTACATGTTCGTCAATGCCGTTGCACTTGAAGCAGCGATGGTGAGGACGCGTAGGAAACAAGGGAGAAGAACGACGACGTCGATGGAGCTGCGTGGCTATATGGTGTCTAAGTGCTTGGTAGTGTCACCACGTTGAGGCGATTGCGGCGATTCTATGAAGCGATCAATGCGATGATAGTCGCCCAATCCCGAGCACACTTCTCCAATCACAACTTCACTTCCTCCCACTCTCCTCCCTGCGGAAAACCCAAGTGGAATCTCCCACATTTCGCAAAACTAAACACTGCTTCTTCTGCCATGGTGAAATCTACGACTTTCCCTCCAAATTCCTCATTTGCGTCCAGGAAATGTGCATGGATCCGTGGGCCGCTGATAGCCTTCATCCAGGCTGGCACCACGAAGCCGAACACCGTACCGTCGATTGCATTTCTGCTGGGCCCATCTTCGAATTCTATCGAATCAAAACGACCAGCGATCTTAAAGGGCATAAGAGTATTCACACCCTTCGCTGGACCCACATCATCTGATGAAACGAGCTCATCAAGGGCTTCCAGCGACATCGACCCGATCTTCAGACGAAATGTTGGCTGGTATACTGTGACCAATGCGAAAGGAAGGCGTGCATTCATGGGTGCTGACTTTGCTTTACCATCCTTGGTAAGTGCGTACGCTTGTCGGTCTTTCAAAATCATGAGACTGCCATCTTCGTAAACACCAATGCCATCTGTGCCGTGGGAAGTAAGGTCAGCGGTTCGCGGTTGGCCTTGATTGAATCCGGCGTTGAGAGCTGCGTAGGTGGAGAATTGGAATATATCGTTTGGTATTGAGCCAACCATGATGGAAAGTACTGTAAAATTCTGTGATTCGGGTGATGGTATCTGGTGTTTGATAACTAGATATGTTGGAGTTCGAGGTTGGGTAGGTAAGGGTCCGGGCTTAGCGGAGAGCCGATCTCCGACTCGGCTACCATATCAGCCCTGCGGTGTGTGGGCGTCATCCCTAGGCGTTCTCTTATACATGCTTATTCTGTTGTACAGATGGAGGTTCTAGATGAACTCATTGATGTGCTTTGCGAAGCAGTACTCGGCAGATCTTGAGCCTTCAGTGTTTCTACTCCATGTCGCCTTCTCGACTCAGACCATCGAAATTCCGCGTGATACATCTTTCTCTTTGCGGCTTTTACGTCTTTAAGTTCCGATTTCCAACGTGATCGGCCGTAATAAGTACATGGAAGCGTCGAAATCGTGAATATCAGAGTAGGAAAATGCGATATGTACCATACGACTGTATCTCTTCCTAAATGTCGGTTGATAATGTGTTGGTCATGTCTTCACAGACTAAGTCGGTACTTCATTACAAGGAATAAACTAGCCTCGACATCTGAATTTAGTACGATCTTTTAGAAATGTTCTTGGAAACACCTTCCTGCAAGGTTGAGTGTGAAGGGAAGCAAGCCAATAACACGATCGCTTATGTAAGTGATTTAGCGCGAACCGTCGGAAGCTCAACTTCACCATCCAAACGGCATCTTTCCCAAGCAATTGCGCAGCCCGTCTGCTCCAATACCTCGCCAGATATGCTCCCAACAGCCCTTCGCGCCCTGCGCTCTCGCAGCGCAGCGGCTTCCTCCCGCTCCTTCGTCCGCTACACCTCCACCGCGACGACCAGCAACCAGGTCCCCGCTAACGACCCTGTCAAGCGCGATGCGAAGCCGAACGTTTCCGAGACCAATGCGATGCCTACATCTTCCGAGGGTTCCTTCGACAAGGTCTTGCAGGAGTCTCCAGAGACAGCCGAGAAGTTGAGGGTTGAACAGGCGCCGAACTACAAGGGCATTTGGTCGCGGAGCCAAAACCCGAGGGAGGTTGCGATGAGTGGGCCAAGATTTGAGCAGAGCATTATGGAGGACCAGGTATGTCGAAATCTCCTGGAGCGGACATTATGGAAGAAACGGAAACAACCGTGGAAGAAAGGGTTGGTTTATGCAGGGGAGATTCACATGCTGACATAGAATCGTACAGCCTCGCCCATACGCCGCGATCGAGCTCATCCACAAGCAGCCCGTTCGCTGGACGCACGACCGTACTGTATCCTGTGACGGAGGCGGTGGCCCTCTCGGACACCCAAGGATCTTCATCAACGTAGATAAGCCCCAGATCTGCTGGTGCACATACTGTGGACTTCCATTCGTAAGTCCCCGTTTGGATTGTGTCTATTTCAGCCTTCCGATACTGGAGCTGGTTAAGGCAAGAGAATTACCGCTAATTACCTCTATAGGCACACGAGAAACACCGACCGCTCCTCGAAGCCACCCCTGAACACGAGCTATCATACCCCCTTGGACCCAAAGGCGATGCGGCGGAAGTCAACGGGACGCAGAAGGTTACGGATGAGCCGCTTGCACAGCGATAGAGCGAGGCAGTCAGAAGAGAGATCAGGGCTGGTGTATATATGCATTGCAATTGAGACTTTGACAAACTGTCGTCTTCTGTCGTGTTGAGGTCGCGGTATTCGCCTGTCTTCTGAACGATGCAATGTATGCGCATTGAACTCGAAAAAGTTCTGGGATTGAGCTCCGCTTTGGTATCATCATTCGAGAGCAGAGTGTATTCCCTGAATACATGGCTTTCGCGAATCAAGTTGAGCCATCTCTTACCGGACAGCGTCGAGGGGTCATTCTATATGGATGTGAGACAGCCTTCATGTTCCACCTCATGGTACTGAAAGATATACATTACAAGTCCACCAATATTGACATGCTCTGAGCTTAAATCCCTAAGTCACTGCCAGTGCATACGGGAATACAACCGACTCTAACGGCGATGTCAAAGAGCAGAAAGGCCTTCATTTGAGCTGGATGGTTGATGAGATCACCATCTGAGCTGAAAATAAGGTCTCGTTTCACAAGCGTCAGGGCTGTGTGAGACATTGGCATACGTCAAACCTGAGCATGCTGGTGATATGTCCGCTGTACATGTAGGACCCAACGTGCTTCACTTTTGTACAACTCTGGCTCAAAGAAAGCAAACTACATTGAAGGTGGATGATCTTTCGGACTCCTATCCTGTGAAAGCTTGAGATATTTGTTGGCTCATGATCCGAAGGCACAGTTTCCGATGACTTCCTCTACGTCAGATGAAACCAGGCACTCCAAGTGAGGGTATCGCACTCGCAGTCTCTCTTCTGCAGTCAGAATGGTGCTTTGCACGTTCATCCTAGTTTACATACATTTACTACCGATTCAGTGATTTTGAAGGCACACAAAAAACGCGTAGGAAGCGCGTCCTGAAGGCCCTGAAGGTCGATTGAAGTCGTTGTTAATGAGTTAGAAGCGGATGAGCAGAGAACGAGGCTGTGCCCAGCGGATGGACCTCACTACGGGTGATTCAGCACTGGCTTAGCATGGACACCCATGCTTACTGCGTCAGTGATCATACAACCAATGCGTATCTCATGTGCGTATGTTGGGTGTGAAATTTGAAGACGGACATGCTCTTTACATTCAAGACGACCTGACCCCACCGCGACACTCCTCTGACGTCACCCCACCCCACATAACGCGACTCAACTCTCCGAACTTTAGCTCAACGCAATGCCGCAACAACACTCTACAAGCTCACATCTAACGACCTTCTTGATCGTCTTCATCTTCGTAATTGCGCTATTCCCAGGACTCTTTGTCGGTATATTCTGGGCGCCCTACAACAGCCTCGCAAACTACCTCGTGCCAACACCCCAACCGCGCGCAAGCGTGCTGTGCAAGAGTCCAAACGTCTGCACCTCCGTACCAATCATGTCTTGGTATGTCCTTGTGTTTTGTACCTATACAAAGTGTCTGTTAGTTGTTAACAGTTCCTAGGGCACAGAAATCCCTCACCCTCCCCAGTCGGTCGCGCGGCTCCTACCTCATCACCGACCACATCCTCAAAGAAGTACCCGAGATCAAGAACTACAAGACTGGCCTACTGAACCTCTTCATTCAACACACATCGTGCGCGCTATCTCTGAACGAGAACTGGGATCAGGATGTTCGCGCGGACATGAGCACCGCGCTGGACCGCATTGTGCCGGAAGACAAGAAGGGTCAGGGACTGTACCGCCATGATGCAGAAGGCAGCGATGACATGCCCGCGCATGTCAAGTCTGCGTTGATTGGCGCGAGCGTCACGATCCCGATCACAAATGGAAAGCTGAACACGGGCACATGGCAAGGCATATGGTACCTCGAATTCAGAGATTCGAAGCACACAAGGAAGGTGGTTGCCACGATTCAGGGAGAGAAGATGTGAAGTGCAGGATCTTAAGATGGAGCTGTTCGCGAGCGACGTTGAGTCTGTGTTGGACTCGGCGAGTCTTGCATGAGGAACTTGAAATGTCAAGGATATAATTACGAAACAATACCATAGGAGTGGGAAGTACGAGAGCGGAATCCGAATGTTTGAGTACTATGTTATGTTACTATGGTCTATCGTGCAGTCGCAATTCCGCCCTTGCTTTTCTGACTCTCCCAAGAAACACCCCTAATAACGCCTGTCCTTCATAACGCCAACGCCAATATCATGATATGCTGCTTTCATACCTAGGCAGAAGTATCCTCCACTTTATAAATGAACGAAATCCTGAAAACCGTAGATCCCGTCACCCCATTGTCTCATTGCCGTTGATGCCTAACGTGATGTGGACCAGTCCTTCTTGTCCGTATCATCAACCGCCTCTTGTCTCTGCTGAGCGCGTCGCTGACTGTGGAAGAACGCTCCAATCACGCGCGGTGGAAGACGAGGAAGCCGACATCAGCATCCATCATCCATCGGCCAGGATGACACTCGTTCTCAATCTGATAGTAGGACCTGAGATGCCACTCGCCGTTGAGCTCGCGACACCAGAAAGGATCGTCGTCGCGTGCATCTGCTGGCCTGATCTTGCGCGGGTCGTACGAGCCACGCTCAGTCGCGATCCTCCGGTTTTCCATCTGGATGTCTTCGCGCGTGGGACCTTGCTGTGTGTGACCGTGAACGTATGCTGGCCTTGTCTCTCTGACCGTCCTTGGGCCCGAGAAGCCTTGCGGTCCTTGTGGTTGACTGTTTGTCACATGATATGTTGTGGTAGTTGTACTTGGGCCAGGTGGATAGACGTGCGCCGAGTAGCCGTAACTAGGTACGGTGTTGTAGTAGGTCCTCTGGTAGGGGTAATAGAAGTTAGCAAGTGGGTACAGCGAGCCATACAAGTTGTAGTTGTAGTAGCCATAGCCACCGCCATAGGAAGGGTAAGAATAATTGGAGGCATAGTAGTTCTGGGGAAAGTAGTTGGTGGCGTAGGTTTGAGGGTACAAGGGACGGGTGTATACCGCAGGTTGGTAGGCGGCCACCCCGTATCCGACACCCATACCGACGCCAACGCCTCCGAGCCCACCGTAGCCATAGCCGCCGCCTATGACGCCAGTGGGCGCGGCGCCATTCGCGGCTTGGCCGGCATAGGAGAGGAAACCGCGTTGGCCGTAACGAGGGTTGTAGATGTATTGGTGGCGGGGCTTTGGGTACCCCTCCATTGCAAGAGTTGATGGATAAGGGCCGATCGGACGATGAATAGGAGAGTTGTGAAGGAGGCAGGTCGCGATGGCGGTCGGTGGGAATTGCGCGGTTACAGTGGAGCAGGGCGAGAGGAGGAAGAAGGTGAAGGTCGGAGCGAGATACAACAAAATCGAGAGAAAGATGATGTCGCGGCAGTAAAGGCCGAGAGCCACGCGATGTTCAAGAAAACATGCGAGCCAATGATGGCGGGGCAAGGCAGCGGTGTAGTAAAGGGAAGTCGCAAACAAACGCGATGGGGCAACGAAAGACAAGCGAGAACTTACCATTGCGGGATTGACCGGCACAATACTACGAGCACCGACAGGATATCCGGTACCGTATGTATATGCAGGCGGATGGCCGGGATGGACACCTCCAATATACCCTCGAGGAACCATGGCCTGGGAGTGGCCGCCTGGGATTACGCCCCTGGAATAACCTCCAGGAACGACACCACTTGGATATCCGCCGCCGTACTGGGAGTACCGATTCGGATATGTGACTGCTCTGCTCATGTAGCGGCCTCTGGGGGTATGGCTGTAGTAGCGCGAAGGGTAGTACGAGCCGCCGAGGCCATACCTGCGGCGTCTAGACATACCAAAGCCGGGGTAGTAATCCTCTGTGTAGTAGCGCTGGCCATTGCGGACCTCAACTCTGGACTCGTAGCTGTAATCGTCGTCGTTGAAGCACATCTTGCTGGCCGTGGAATTGGGCTGGATGGGGACTGGAGACGAGGGAAAGAAACAGCCGAGAAAGCCGACAATGAGCGAAGCAAACGGTGGCCTATGACGCGAATGAGAAGATAAGGGAGATACAGACTTCACCGCGATATCGATAGTAAGGCGTAACTTGGGAAGTAGCCCATCGAGAAATGCTTACCATGTATCTGCATTCAGCGATAGAATGGTATGTACAGTACAGACCTAGAGTACCTACCAAGGGCCTGTCTGCAACTAGAGCCCACTTGGATGATCAAGTCTTTCCACTTCCACTCTTCGGTACAGCACCCCCTTCGATAGCACCAGTCCCCGCTCCAGGCGCGCCGTTCCCCTTCTTCCCAAACATGGCGCGGAACTTCTTCAAGACCGGGGCGACCGTCCATCGCGCAAAGGTGGGAGTAGCCCATACGCTGAACACGATTCTCGGAATCAACAACATCTTGACAATCGCGTAAGCCGTCGCAAACTCGACGACCAGCCTGACACCGCCTTCGCTGATGTTCCATGCCTGATCCACCTTCCTCAGCCTCTTAGTCTCGCTGCCGATGCCGTCGTCATCGGAATGCGACAACAAACCCTGGCTCTTCATCCACTGCCTCTGTTTGTCATCCTTCTGGATCTCGTCGACCTCACGTTCGGCTTCCAGCGCTTCATCGCTGCGTATCCAGCCCTTGCGCTTGAAGTACCGACCGAAGCGCTCGACGCCTGACGCTATCCAAGCCCCTTCTGCGAACCACGGAGGCAGCCAGTGTGTGTAGTGGAAGTAGCCAGCGAGACCGAACAGAGGGATGACGGCCGTGAGCTCGTGGAGGAGAAGGAACGACGTTATGTGCGTGACCGGGGCATTGCCGAGCGCATTGGTGTACTTGTGCAGAAACTTTGGCAGGCGGCGATTGAAGCGCTCGATGCGCGACTGGGAGGACGCTGGAGAGGCTGGCGGCTCTGTCGCATAGCGGCGCGTGTGTGGGCTGCGAAGAAGTTGTGGTGGGCGCGCAGCCGCCCGCAGGATGGCTCGTCGTAGCATTCTGGCTGTGTCAATCCCTCCTCCTTGTCTCAACCTTCCGGCCCGAGTGGCTCCTTATGCCTTGCGCGGTGTTGTGATTCCATGCGGAGAGCTGCCACTGCGCCTTCGTCGTATGACGAAGTCATCGGAACCCTGACGGGCCGATCCACGTTGGTCGCGTCTACCTAGGTACCGATCACCTATGTAGCAGCACCTTGTCAACTCCCGCATTGACGAGTAGACCTGGTAGTGTTATTCGCGCAATCCGGTCTGGCGACATTCCGAGGTCTCTTTGAATAGTGGGTGGCATATACATCCATGCATGTCCGTCAAAGGATGGAGGCCGCGCCCCCTGTGCCACCACGCCCTAAACATCAACCACTAATCAGACGCCCTGTGTGACCAAAGCGCGTAAAACACGTAGTTCCAGAAGTCAAATTATTTTTAGTTACGAACCGCTGCAGAAGCATCTGCAGAGCTCTCTCAATCGTACTGAGAGCAAACTCGCTCAACATGTTACTATTCTACGAAGATGAACCCAGCTCAATTGAAAATGTGCAGCCCTCATTCAAGACGATAAACAATGCTTCAACGCCAGCCATCGATCCGCTACCGCAATACGGCTCTCACGCTTTCATTCCATACCCACCTACGACCACACCAAACGATGCCTTGCCAGAAGACCCCAAAGCTGACAGTACATCTCCATCACGGCTAAAAGTACTCAGCCCTTCTTCATGGACATATTGTGGTCCTCTCCTCCACGCAAGCACCACGTCCCTCCCACCGTCATTCCACACCTGGGCAACTCTTACACTGTCTTCTCCCGCGACTTTGATACACCGGCTCCTCCCTCTCCTCTCATGGCTACAGACTTTCTTGTCAGCAGCGAACATCCACAATTACTGGCTGACTATCCGCTGCACCACGACAACCCACGAATACGATACACCACGCTGGCACACAGATGAGAATGTTTTCGCCTACGATGCTGAAGCCACTGGCTTTGGTCTTGCTCAGTCTAGTACGCAAAGGCTATGGAAGCTCTGTACCACACTCCTCGGACCAAGCACTCTCTTCACAAAACGTAATGACATGGCGCTGAGGGTGCTCAGAGAGACTAAGAAGATCGAGAAAGAGAAGTTGGGTGACCATACCTGTACATCGATATGTTGCGTAGGCTGTTCCACGTATAGTGACTCCGTACGACAGTCACTCGTACATTCTCTACAAGATGTGGAGCGTGAGACACCGGCTTCTAGAGAAGTGGCGTTTTTTAGGATAGGCGGAGAAGAAGGGGCAGTGCATTCGGAACCCCGCCACGATACTGATCGTATATTCATCAATGTAATTCCAGGCACAGAAGAAGATTTGCGGAGCTTGATGGCCAAATGGGGTATCGGATTCCCACGTGCGTGGTGTTTCGGTTCGCCTGTCGGCTTCGTGAAGAGTGACGAGGCGGAGACCTTTGCGATGGGAACTTGACCTAATGAGACAATGGGACGAGGTTCAGATGGCTGCTCAGAGATCATAGATCAGACACGTGCAATACGTATGATTGATTTATAGATCGAGGGAAACTACGCTAAGATGGGAACGAAGCTGCACCCCTTCCTTTTTTTCTACATCCTCATAACGCATCTCCATGTTCTTCTTCGATATATTGCTGAACAGAAAGCTCAGCGCGATAGTTTCACTCACAGCTTCTCAGCAACCTCGACGAAGTCTTCCAAGTTTCGCACCGGTCGAACACCGGTGCTGACTTGCATACTCGCCTTCCAAGCATGCACATCCTCGATAAGAACAGGCTGTGAAGCATCCACTACGCTCTTGACATCTGCACTCGTATCCAGGGCCTGAGGCGCGGCCGGCAGACCTGAATCTGCTACACCCAATGCAGCCTTTGCTTCGTCGAGGATCTTGTTAGCGACTTCCTTCTCGATCTTGAGATCGTCAGTGAGGTGGCTGGCAACTGCATCCGAGATAGCCGCATTGGACGA